GTCCAGAAATAGTTTAAAAACAAAAAGGCACTGACAATCATAGAAAACCTGCCTTGATGGGAATTAAGAGGATGCAACGTAAAAACAAAATTGGTGCTCCAATTCTAGTTAAACAATTTCAAAACTTAGTTACCTCTTCTTGCTTCTAGATAAGGTCATTTTTTTGCTAGCATAAATTCCACTCAGGAAGGTATGCCAACCTTGAAAAAGAGGATTCGAAAAGGCCAAGCACAGTCCAAAAAGTAATTCTAATATCATATAAGTTTCGCCTATTTCCAAAAGTTCAACATATTGGCCCTATCAATCAAATAAATCACCTTTGCAGCCGCCCTAATCATTGTTGGACCACCAATGTCAATATTTTCAACCCCATCCTCAAATTCAATGCCTCCCGCTGATGTAACTTTATCATAAAATGGGTACAAATTCACCACCACAACATCAAAAGTACCTGAAACAGAACTCTATTAGAGAAAGATAACCAACATAAACATAATGGATACAAAGGACTCAAAGTCTGATCTTATAATATATCTTGCATCATGTAATTGTATTCATAGCGTTAACATATTTTACCAATTCCATGAGTATTAAGAGCTTCCATGTGATGCTTTTGGTCTCTTCGGGCAAGAATGCCCCCATGTACATTGGGGTGCAAAGTTTTTACACGACCATCGAGCTGTGAAGAAAAATCAAAACATTCTTGTACTAATGTCATTTATGTAGATTGCAAAAGAGAGTAATAGGATTTTAAACTCCTAATAGGTTGAGTATTTGGCACCATCCTTTAACCAGAAAAAGAGCAAGTATCCAAGAAAACACATGAATTATCACAAAGTCAGGGAATTTAAAAAGCCACAGGTTGACATTATTTAAGTAAAGGAACAGGTATTGCCATGATTTATAACTTGTGATTTGTAAAGCCAAGATTAGGTGAACAACAAAAAATTGTGCCTACTGGAATCCTAGCATGATCATACGTAAATCACTCCATGCAAAAAATATAAAAAGATAATTTTATGATAACATTAATCTTGAGAACATCCAAAACAATATAATCAGAAGAGCAATAGAGAACCACTCTCGCATCAATTACTTCTCTTATGCAGTGGTAATCTATAACTTAATAATTTAACAAAGGAAAAAGCTGTCAACTTTCTTTAGACAATCAGATGGTGAATATATAAAATTCAATGTAGAAGAGATGAGTGTTTGGTTACAAGAAACTCCAGATGCAATATGTTTTATTGAACAAAACCAAATAACGTGGCAAATGCAAGAATCTCTTCCCTATCAACACCATTTTGTAATCCCACTAATTTGTCCAGCATTTGTTTACTCAAACATCATTTATAAAATTATTAAAATTACTCAATCATACATGGATCCCATAAAGAATATTTATTTCAAAAACAATATGTTTGCACAAGTTAAATAAGAAACTAAAATGTGAGAAGGCATACCGATAAGGACATCAGGTAGAAAACCTTAAACACATAAGAAAATGTACACACATGAATAGAAGATAGAACATACTAGTTATAAGAATCTGGGAGAAGCAATTCAATCTAGGATGGATACTCACCATTTCAGGAAACTGGGTAAGCTGTTCTACTTTAGTAACAGTCACTCCAGCACTCTCTAGTGCAGCTGCTGTTCCTCCAGTTGAAACAATCGTATATCTACAATTTATTTTAGGGACCATTACAAAGTTGATAAGCATGACATTGCTCTTAGAAAGAAACTTGAACAAGAGAAAGGATGTTTAAAATCTCAACATAAAGAAACAAAACACAGCATAAATTAATATATAATTTACCCTAGTTCCTGGAGCCCGTTCCCAAGAAAAGCAAGATCCTTCTTGTCTGACAATGATATTAATGCTTGCTTGTTGCCTGCTTCAGACCAACAATAACAAAAACAAGCCAGGAATTATTTTAGTTTTATAATCAAAGATCAACCAGGAGATTACATAGATCTTAGCATTTTAAAACGTATCACAAACATGGTATAGGGATAAAAGCCTAAAACTCTACAGCAAACCCATAACCAGCTATGCAGTTGAAGAAAGCTACGAACTCGTTTGAGTACAAAGAATGTAAATAAGTAAATTGACAATTTGGTCCGTAAATTGTTAGGCTCATTTGATTGCAGTCTCCAAATTCAGCGCGTGGCTGAGTGCAGTGAGCTAATAGAAAATAACAAACAGTGGAGCTCTAGTACTTTTGACCTCCTTATTTCCATGAGCACTCGCTAATTTTGGGGTATTAAAACTAAATAAAGCTAAATGAGACTAATAACATATGAGACAAATTATAAATTAGCTCAATGCAAATTAAACCCAGACTAATGAAGCAGGAGAATAAAAGCAACAGAAATTACCAGCAGCAAAGGATGAAGAAGCACTTTTAGGGACTAAAAGTGTATCAGTTTCCGCCATGGCTTTGATGGGAATAAAGCTCCAGCGCAACAAAGAAGAACGAAACTGAACATACCCAGTAGAAGACCAAAACCATTGAAAAATTGTAAAGCCCAATAAAAGTTTAAAAAGCCAAAAGAAGCAAATATAAAAAGGTGTAAACTTTGGAGTCAAATTACAAAGAATACCTCAGTTTTTGCGAGCAAGTGAGAACTGAAACAAGAGGTATTTGGGTGACAAGAAGGGGAGTAAAGCGAAGCACAGAGAATGGGAGTGTAGACAGAGTTGGCGGCGGCGGAGGCTGAGGAAACACCAAACTCAAACATCGTTCGTAAGAAAGCAGCAACAAGAAGCGAACCATGTCTTGGTTCGCTCTCGTTTTATAGTCAGTCACTCAGATTCTCTCACTTCTCCGATCAACGAATGATGGCCAACAGTCAACAAAGCAAAACCCAAGTGGGCAATGAATCCAATCCTCCTGTGAGCCAAAATATTCTCAGGTCTATTACTATTGCTATTATTTTTTAAATTTTAATTAACTAATAATTAATTCTCTAAACACTAAATAAAAAATCTCCTTTTTAATAGATTTAAATTAAATTTTATTTTAAATTTTAATTTTAACGAATATTACCAGAGAGATAGATATATGCATAAAAAAAATACGTAGATGATATGATGATTGAGTATCACAATTCATTTATCGTGATTTTAATTTTAGTCATCAACCCAATACTATATTTCTTGTGCTTAAACTTTATGATTAAAGAAAATATTGCAGACAAGTTTCTCATATGAAATGATCCAATCTACCTAAATTTATTAAATGTATTAAATATTATTTTGGTGTATAGTAAAAATATAAATTCAATTAATGAATTAAATAGTTTATTTTTTTACCACATGGAATAAGCTCTGCCAACAACGAGATTATCACTCTCAAAATATTAAAAATAAATAATTTGATTTAATAAAATAGTTATCACAAATTTTAGGAGTACATGTTTATTTTGGCTGGCCATATAATTCATAAATGAACACTTACAGACATAGTATAAGCAAATATAGTTATATACTCCTTCTGTTTAAAAATATAAAATATTTTTAACTGAATTTTACTTATCAATAAAGTATTTACATACTTTTAAACTAACTTTATTTTTTTATATTTACCTTTATTAAACAACTTATAATAAATATAAAGTTATTTATCAATAAGAGTACTTTTAAAAAAAATCAATGATTACATCTTAAAAGATTAAAAATACCTTATATTTTTAATATTTAACTCTTAAAAAAATTTCATACATTTTTTAGCGGATGGAATAACTCTATTTAGTGTGTGTTTGGGTTTCTCCAGGTAAAAATTAATTAGACCAAAATTAGTTGTTGCAACAAAATTTATATTTAAATATATTTTTTTAAAGTTAATTTAATAAATTAAAAATTGTTTGAATTAATAATAGTTTGTGTTTTTGAATATATAATGAATAAAAAAAGATATTAATTTATGATAATATATAATTTTTATTATACAAATATAATATATTAGAAATATTTAAAAAATGTGAAAAAAATTAAAATGACATAAATTTGATATATTAAATAATAAAAATAATAATATAAAGTGATATGTTGAAAAATATTATATAATAAATAATCTAATATTCATTAATGTTGAAATTAATATGATAAATTGTTCAATCTATAATGTATAATATAATCTTTAATTAATTGAATCACTAACTTTATTAATCTCTTTATAAAATGTCCCACTTAAATATAAGAGTAGCATGGTTAATTATAAAATTAGGTGCATATTTATTCTCTACGTTAATGCTCTCCAATTTCCATTAATACTTTCAAATCCTTTTTTAAGTTATTTTTTAAATCCACATTCAAATTGTTTTAAAAATACTTTTCAAAAGCACATTCTTCTATTTATCTAATACCCAAATAACTTTTTGCATATCACATGTTGGGAATTATTTCTCAAATATAAAATGCGGTTACCCAAACACATTCTTGTACTATAAGTGCAAGGCCATTATTGACTTTGGACTACTTGTTTCTTATAATTTTTTTTTTTGAGCACCAAGGCATCTTTAATCTACCTGTTTGAGAGAGAAAACTGACTTAAACTTTGTAATATTCTACCCCTAACTTAATTATTTCACAAATATGTTTATTATATGTTTAGTTCCAATAATAAAAAGTCATTATCAATTATCAATTAGTTATTTTAAATTTTATATTATTTTTGTGATATTTTATATTCAATTATTTTAAAATTTTATAATATTTTTTATATCCCATATTTTTATAACAGTTTTTATTTATTTACTAAATTATTTTCAGAAGTTATTTAAAATAATTTGCCAAATAATTAGAAATATATTTTTTATTATTTTTAAAAATTTAAATAAATAATATAAATTTTTTGAAAATAACTCTTTATTAAAAAACACTTAAACAAACTGTGCTTAATTTTAATGTCTCATTAATAAACTTGTGTGTAGTTCTCTCAATAATATTTTATAAGTTACAACCCAACAAAAACACGTTCTCGTCTGAACGTCCGGGGTGTTATATGAATAGCAGATTCATATTTTGTTCGGCATTCTGCCCTTATCAAGCTCGCCGTCGGACGCCGTCTACCTTTTTGGGCCCTGCGTGGTTATTCTCCTGCAAACCCTGGAGCCCGATCTTCTGCCAAAATCCGGTGAGATTGATTTGTTCCTTTGAATTGAATTTGTTCCCCGCTTCATCTGTTCATTGTCAAGCCCGCGCCGGACGCAGTCGCACCGTTTCTTGCTTTGTTGTATATAATTTTTCATTTTTAATTAATTGAAAGACCATAAATTGCAGGAGTGTTATCATTGTTAATTAATTGAAAGACCATAAATCGCAGTGGCTTGGAGGAGTTGCCTGAATCAATTGGCTTGCTAAAGCATCTGGAACAAAAATTAAAAGGGTATGATATCAGCTATGCATATTTTAAAGATTTCAGTTGGGGCAACAGATGCCCCCACTGAGGAGACACGATCAAAGAAATTATATTGATCATCAGGGAAAAATGAAAGTGAAAACCAGCAAATTTCGTTGCATTGATAAAACTAGAAATAACTATGGTATAACCAGTAATCGTGTCTTCTATAATATTGAGACCTGTGAATTACTAATGTCATTAATGTTTACCTTAATCCTGGTGCTACTGGATCATATACAAATGATTATGGTGAAGCTTTAGTGAATAATAACTGTTGTGTTACTGGGCTAGAGGAGGAAATACCAGAAAGATTGTGATGGATTTGTGTAAATATTGCACGAGGTCTCTTCTGCTACAAAGGAACTTTTGTGTAGTATGTAGACTGATCCAAAATTTTACAGCTATGCTTACTCAATTTTAATGCTTGAAATCTGCTCATTTCTTCTATTTGTATTTCTTTCTAAGCTTTACACTTACATTCTGTTATGGAATTAGTTTCTTGGCTGATTATTCTTTAAAATTTCCCCTTTTCCGTCCAATTCCCCAACTTGGGGGACCAAGTTCAGCTCAATTTAGTGTCAGGCTATGCTTGGGCTGGACTAGACCACGGATAGCCTTGTCCAGCCTGAAGCTTTTTCCATTCCTGACCAGACCCCTAGGCTGCAGTAACAGTATACTTTTGTTAATCCATGTAGATTCTGTTATTTGGCTGGTGAGGTTGCTGGTGAAATTGTGAAGGGGACTTTTTTTTTGTTTTTGGGTGGTGGGGGGAGCTGGTGTTGGGATTTTAATTTTTTTGTTATGTTGATATTACTCTGGCTTATGATACTGCAGACAATGTTCAAGAACACATTCCAGTCTGGGTTTCTTTCCATCTTATACAGCCTTGGGTATGTAGTTTTTTTGGTATTTAATGCTTGTTTCAAATTTCAATTTTGAATGTTTTATGCAATGATGTTGACATTCTTACTTGCTTGGATTTTATAGGAGTAAACCTCTGCAGATCTGGGATAAAGAAGGTGAGTATTTTATGGTTTGCAGCATCAAATGATAATATTTAGAGCTAGTTTTGCAATCAATTGTCTCACAATTATCCAGAAGTTGAGTCATGATGACAATTTTTTCTGCATTACTAAAATTCATTTATTGTCATATGAATATTATGGTCTATTTTAACATAGAAAAAACCGCATCTGCTACAGCACAGAAACAAATTATTATTATTATTATTTTAAAAGCTTGACCTAACACCTCAATAAAAACCGAATAAGTAGGTTTTTGGAAAAACAAGGAAGCAATTTTTTCTGTGATTTGCTTGAGGACATGTTTTTTTTAGGCCTAATCTATACAGGATTAAAATGCCATGTGACTTATATATTGTGTGGGGTTGATTTCATAGTTGTCAATGGCCACATAAAACGACCACAAGATGAAGACATACAGTCCAATGTACTTGAAATAATTGGATCCAATATCCAATCCACGTACATCACATGTCCTGCAGATCCAGCTGCAACACTTGGTATAAAACTTCCGTTCTTGGTTGTGATTGTGAAGAATCTAAAGAAGTATTTTACATTCGAGATTCAAGTTCTGGACGATAAGAATGTGAGACGACGATTTCGGGCTTCAAATTTCCAAGTCTGTAAGTTTGCCCATGTTTGTACTTTTTGGTTGGTTTTCCTAAAGATTTTGCAGGCTTACAAATTCTCCTTTGTGTGTTTTGTGCCTGATTGTGTGTCCTTATCCTACATCAAGCATGTTTGGATACATCAAATAATCAATTTTAAAGGTTAAAATCATGGTTTTGTAAAAATATATCCAAATACCTCTTTTATAAATCATGATTTTGAGCTCATAATTGATTTTGACATGTATGGACTGGTTGGGTATTTTTAGAAAAATCATGGTTTTGGGCTCATAATTGAATTTAGCAAGTAACGGGTGTTGGGATATTTTCAAGAGAATCATGGTTTTAGGTTCATAATTGATTTTAACATATAAGATTTTCTGATTTGTAATACTTTGGCATGATGACTTTGTACTTGTCAGAAAGTTTGAGAAGACTATTGATTTTAAAGAGTTAAGACGTCTTTGCTCCCATTGCCTTCATCTGCGATGAAGTTAATTCATCAACATCGCTTACTCTCCCGAATAGATTCTTTAAGGTTTACATTAATGTGAATTCATATGTACTATGTTGTGCTATTTATGCTTTTAGAATTTGACATTCTCAATGTGCTATTTGCTAGACATTCCATGTGAGAGAACACAATCATACTTATATCTTAAACCTAGTGTAGGGTCCTATGCATTACACGAGTTGAGAGAAACAAGTTATACTGTTCATAGCTCATGAATAGTGTGACTTGTTAGAATTTTTACTTTTTATCTTCTATATAGATTTTCTCAAAGATACACACAAGTGATTAATTTAATTGTTTCCATATCATATAGGCTGTGACTCGAGTAAAGCCGTACATTTGCACCATGCCACTGAAAATGGATGACGGGTGGAATCAAATCCAGTTGAATCTTGTTGATTTGACCAAGAGAGCTTATGGCACTAACTACATGGAGACTCTGCGAGTTCAGGTCCACGCGAACTGCCGCCTAAGAAGGATATATTTCTCTGACCGTCTCTACTCTGAAGAGGAACTCCCACCCGAATTCAAATTGTACCTTCCAATGCAGGTATGAGATGCTCCCCCCATTTGAATTTGCTAGTCTTTAATGTTTTGACGCTCATTTGTGTGTTTAAATTTGTTGCATTATCTTGATGCAGAAAGCAGCATGAAAATGTCATGGAAGGATGGATTTTAGAGCCATGAAAGGTGTGGATGTTATTCTGGAGCTGTTTTAGGTACCCTTCTTGTAAAAGTACTTATTTCTTCGATAACTTTTATCAGTCTATCGTGTAAATTAACGAGAACTTCTACATATGTCCTGTTTCATTTGATTAGTTTGAGAAGGTACTTTTCTGTTGGATCAAGATTCAAGCAGTAATGTTTGTTGTTCGTGTTTGTAGTACTTAGTGCATTCATGCTTTTATATGATGAAAGGTTGATGTGTAGTATTACTTTTACCGTTAGATGCATCAATAAATAAGGTATTATAGGATAATTCTTCTTCTTTCTAGTTAAAAGGGCAAGCACCGGTGCCATGAGAATATAAGCGAGGTCGAATTCGCGACTTTCCCACTTACAGAAGAGCTTGCATGCTACTAGATTGCAAAGTTATTGGCTATTATAGGATAATTCTACCCTGCCCTTAGTCAGCATAATTTGGATCCTTTCAAGTTAAATGCTTTTTGATTCGAAAACAGTATGTCGTTTAGTTATCCTTTGGTTAAAACAAAGGGGAGGGAATGGAGAATTTTAATGAGCAGTTTCTGCCCTCACAACCTTCCATCGAATCAAACACTTTTAAAGAGTGTAAGATTTACTTAATGTTTGGTAAGTAAAAAAGTTGTTTTTTAAAAAAGAAATGGGAAATTTATTTATCTTATTTTCTTTCCAGGCATGTTTCTCATTTCTTTTTTGAAAAAAAAAAAGCATTTTTTGTCTGTTTTTTCTATGAACCAAATATGCAATTAGTCTCCTTTTTCTTTAACTCGCGCACAAGCTCTTCAAAAGCACATTTCAAGATTTTAATTTCAGAGGACCCATCCGCAAATCACATGAGGAGTGATGCGTCCAAAAAGAGAGTAGTATAACTATCCATGAAGACGAGTTATACATCGAGTTACCATTAAAATTAATTGAAATTAGAACGAATCAATGTGCAAAGCGCATAAAGAAATGTTTGAGGAATATAAATGTTGGAATCATTTAACCTCAAATAATTCAAATTAAATTACTCAATCACTCAAGTAATTAAACACAAAGAAGTCACATCATGAAGTTCAAAAATACTTCTTGTGGAGAGCAAAATACTGACTTTTATTATTGATATTGTTGATGCTCTTAAGTTTAGGCTTAATATGTTTTGATTTGATAAAAGTATTATTAAATATATAAATTTAAGAACCTATATCTTCCCCACATTAAACTAATATGTTAATTTTCTTGACAACTCGTATAAATTAAAGAGTAGCAATTCTATTGTTTGAAATAAAAGAGAGTATAAATATGTAAAATGCAAAATAAATAGAATAAACAGAAAAGTTGTCAAGCAAATCTAGATGTACTCGATCGGTGTAATTCAAAATCACAGCCACAAGAGAGAGGAAAGAAATCCAAACTTCAGGATTAAAATCAAAACCACAAAACCACGAGAGATTATATCACGCGTCCATAATTAATAAAATCATCATTAAATTCGTCTAAGCTTCCTCCCTGCACGAATAGATTCATCCAATTTTGGATTAATTCCTCTGCAAAGCAAAATGAGAATCAATTGTACCGTCTCTCAAAATATAATAGTAATAATAAATCAAGAAATAATTGCTTCACAAACAAAAAAGAAATAATTGATTAATTATGCAATTGAAATATGTTGAGCCTAAATTACCCTAACATCATAAAAGATGCCCAATGTACACCAAAATATCATGAATTTTTTTAGTAGGAAACTGAGTATTAAAAAAAATAAATATGTACTTTCGTTTATTATCATTAAAATTTAAACGTTGCGATAGTGATTAGGGGAAATGTGGTTTAAAATTAGCCTACAGGAGCAATACTATAACAACCATCCAGCTTTCATAAGTTGGCAGTCTTTTGCCAATCTTTTACATAGCTGGTTTTCTCAAGACCAACAGGATTAGCTAGTATGATTCAATCGTAATTATTGCCTTTTTAAGAACTTGAAACTCAGAGATGAAAAAATAGACATCCCAAGATCATCTAGACATGCAATTGACTTTTTTTTTTAATCATAATATTGCATAATTTGTTCATGGTAAAAGCTCAATATCTACAATATAAACAGTTAATCATTAAAAAAATGCTCAATCGTACAACTAGATGGCTTTGGTTTGGATGGAATAAAAAGACAATCAAAAGAAGAGAAAACTAAAAGGAGAAATTTTCAAAAATAGTAATTTTTTTTAATTTTTAGAAGTTTTCTCTTTTAATTTTCTTTCCTCCTTATTTTTCTTCCTAGAAGGTTAAGTTTTGGTTAAAAAGAAAGCCAGAAAGACAAAAAGAAGGGATATTAGAAGAGACACTAGAGAATGGGCATCATTACATGGCGGATTATATTTCAAATTTGAATGTGTTTGTTTTATGGGTTGAGAAACCGAATCCACCTTGAGAAATGGATTTATTATATTGGCATACATATGCACGTTAGCCAACATAAGACCAAAAATATTATGAAAAGTCAAACTTGTTTAAAATTTGACAAGCATTGCATGTGTATTCAACTTTTATCATCATTTCTACGCATCATCAAACACATCTTTATTCTCATCAAGGTTCATGACTTACCGAAGGCACTGAGATTTGAAGAAGATCCTTCTGAGAACTCAGTGAAAAAAGACTCCACATTAGGATTCGAGAATCTGATATCTTCCATTCTAGATATCTGCTTGTGCACATATATTCCGCTCCATCTTGTATAGACTGCATCATCTAGTGGAGGTTGCATACCAATTCCACAAGTTATGGAAAACATGTTGCAAGAAACCTTCACATGGTTCCATTCATCTTGCAAAACTCCATTCTTGAGTTGATCCATAGGAATCAGGTTTTGCAAATCCACCAAAAAGAAGTTTTGACATGGAATATAATGATCAAGTTTTGCAGGAGAGTCAAAAGATTTGCCATTGATTTGGACGTTAAAATTTAGGATAATAGATGGGGCGTGACGTGCATCTCTAGATGCTGATACTGCAAAACACACAGCCACGTTGGGAAGTTGCTTTCTTCGGAACCAGAAAGACACTGAATCTAATAAAGCATAATGGTCAAGCCATTTTGGAGGTCTGTCTCCTCTTATTATAAACTTGAAGCCATCAACCTCGTGAGATGCCTATTAATTGCAAAACATTAATAAGAACTGAGTCATTATGCCTCACAAGATAGAAAGGAGGGGAGATTTATGCAATGTTTGATAGGTGAAAAAGTGTTTTCTAGAAAGAAAAAGGAAAATACAACCATCCGTTTTCTTTTTATGTACATTTCCCATTTCCTTTTTTGAAAATACTTTTCTGTGTATCAAACATGCAGTTAGTGATACAAAATGAATGAGATATTGAAAGAACTTTCACTAGGGTCATGAATACCCTTCATTGGTGAGATGTTGAACTTTGTGTGCCATAAAAACGAAAAAGCTTCTATTTACATGTCCCTAGCTGTGGATGAAATCAATATACCAATACATATGATTAAAAATATAACAAGCAATGCTTTTTTCAAGTTATGAAGAGTGCGACTCATTTCTCAAACCCTATAAAAATGTATCTAGTGATACAAATAAGATGGTGAAGTGAGATAGACAAGGTGAAGTGAAGTGATATCCATTTCATATGATTTGGAAGTACAGGATAATAAAAAGTGGGAGTGAAGTCTTTATTGAAATTTGATGCAAAGAGAATATTGAAGAGTGGAAGGCTCTTAATGTGATGAGTATACTCACATCCATGATGATTTCTGAGAACTAACTTGTTTCTAAAATAGTTTTTTCTTTTTTGTCATTTATACAAACAATGCAAAACTTATGGGTCCCTGAATTTCCTTTTCCTTCATAACACAACACAACTTTTTTATTTCTTCCATGCCTAGAGGAAACGTGAGCCACTATTATGTATAAGCATACGGTCATAGAAGAGAATTAACTAGATCAACATAGGATTTCTCCAACAAGAAGATAATACAAAACTTGGTGTCCTCCTTCCTGTCATGTCATGTATTATCAAATAGGCATATAAAAAATGATGGCACTAACTTTTCTGGTCGAAGTGCTTTGTAGGAAGCCATAGAAAAAGCAGTCTAAAGTATGATGTGTGTGTGTGTGTAGACAGAGAGAGAGAGAGAGAGAGAGAGAGAGAGAGATGTTAACCTGACTGAGTAATATGTTTAGAGACTCCGACTTCAAATGTGAGTATGAAATGTCATCTACTTTAACTCCCCAATGCCGTAACTTCCTTGTAAGATTTAATTCTTTTAAACCAATGAGGTTTTTGATTGACAATGGCAATATTTCTATGCCACTATATGTTAGATTCATTTCTCTTAAATTTTCCATGGTTCCTAATATTTCTGGAAATGTCTGAAGGCTCTCGCACTCTGAGAGGTCAAGAAATTCAAGAGACCTTAAAAAGATGCTTGGAAAGTTCTTGAGCTTCTTGCAATAATAAGCACTTAACCTCTTAAGTTTATCAAGAGAACCAACGGAAGCATGAACATTAGTTAAATTTATGCAGCCATCCAGACATAGTTCAATCAAATTTGGGGCTTCAGATAAGTCAGGAACTTCTCTTAACAATTCACAGCGACTCAAATTCATGATAGTTAAAGACCGGAACTTCTGCAAAACAATATTAAAAATAACAACTCTTAGTATTCTATAATCATAACATACAACACTAAAAAGCACAAACAATGATACACACACCATTCATGACATGGATAAAATCTAAAGAATCTACGTATAATTGGAAAGTATCATGTTGTGTATAGTATCAGTGTGGACGTTCGACACATGCCTACATTTTATTATGCTTCATAAAAAAACGTTAATTGTTGAACAATGGAAATAGCATACATGCCTTGAGTGGTGTATTCAGTGTCAGGCGACTTTCAGGCACCCTTAAGATAACTAGTTGCTTGGGATTGAAATCACAAGGTAGAGATGAATAAGGATATCCCTTCCATTCCAGCACTCTTAAACTACTTGGGAGATACTTGGGAGCTGTGGAAAATTGTGCATTTCTAATGATAAGCATCTTAAGGTTTGACATCTTTTTGAAGGCCATTCCATCCCAATCAACCTCTTCATCTCCCAGCATGTGCAGATTTATGACTTCAATCTTCTTAGTTCCCTTTCAAACCAAAACATAAGTGAACCACAAAAATTGTTACATGTGTCAAGAATTGAAAAAAAAATTGTAAAGAAATGTACACTTCTACCCAATTTCAAATGTATATAGTAGGTCAGTCAAGAAAGAGAAGAGAAAACACAAGTTATATATGCACTTGGGGTTGCTTGAGCGGAAGATTTAATGCTAGGAAAACTACAGAACACTCTAACTGTAAAAAGGATCAAAATGATTAAAAATAACAAATACATGTATATGCCTCTCAGATCAACTTACCTCGTTCTCTTCTAAAACGGAAACAATGTCTTTGGTGAACCACAACCTAGAGCGTTTTCCAGGCTCATTTGGTGATTGGTGCCGAACAATTTCCTTCCCCATATCCTGAATCAAGTCATGCATTGTCACAATGCTATCGGAAGGCCAAAGGCTTAATTTATCCTCACGACAAATCTTTATGAGACACCTATCAACTAACACCTTAATAGCATATTTTGGGCATCTACCATGAGAAGCCAGTAGAGTGCTTGTGACATATTCCAATGTGTCTCCTTTAAAGCAACAAGCAATATCAAGAAAAATTTCCTGCTCATGTTCTTCCAAAGCATCATAACTTATTTTGAGTACTTGTTGGATCTTTTGATTGGGAGTTACTCGCCAGTTTTCTAGTGCAGAATTCCAATATTCTACTCCCATACCAAACAAGCTGGAACCTATAATTTCCAAAGCCAATGGAAGACCAGAGGCATATAGTATAATATTATTTAAATTATCCAAGTATCTTTGCTCGGCTCTATTTTGTTTAAAGGCATTCCAAGTGAGCAGTTCAAGAGCTTCTTCTTGATTTAAACTCTCAACCTCATGAATTCTATCAACGCCATGTCTTGCTAGCAAATGCGTATCCCTTGTTGTTATAATGATTCTGCTACCAGAACCAAACCAATCAAGTCCCCCAGCAATTGCTTGCAATTGGTCTAGTTCATCAACATCATCAAGAACTATTAGAACCTTCTTTCTGTGGAGCTTGTGTTTTATTATTGGAATTCCTTTATTGACATATCTTACGGTGATATTTTCATCCATCATCACTTCAGAAAAAAGTATTTCTTGGAGATGCACTAACCCATGCTTTTGTGAGTTTTCTCTAACATTAGCAAGAAAACAGAAGCCTTCAAATAGGTCAGCAATTGAATTGCATACTGCTCGAGCAATTGTTGATTTGCCTATTCCTCCAGTGCCCCAAATCCCTACCATTTGGACTCCCTCATTAGAGTTAACATCCAAAAGAGATTGGACTTGCTGCACTCGAGATTCGATTCCAACTGGGTAATCAGCAATGTGTAAAGGTTTGCGGTTGATCCTCATAGAGACATCTTTCACGATCCTTTCAATAAAATGGCATTCATATTCTTGCCTGCCCCAATCACAAATTTTGGTAAAAAGTTCGTATCTATCTGATTATGTCACATCATGAATACATAACATTCAATCAACCATATATATGAACCAGTGGATCTATAAGCGGGAAAGATCCAAAATATTTGAAGAAAATGAGAAGAGGGACTAATGAACACGAAAATTTTATTGCAAACTTAAATTACAATATACCCCAAGCTACTAACCTTTTCACTTTCTCTTCCCTTCTACAGCCACCCTTCTCCCCCCCCCCTTCTCTTTCCTCTCTTCTACTTTTTTTACTCACTACCTCATGGAACCTCTTCTCTCTTCTTTCTCCTTATGTTCTTTTTTTTTTTTTTTGGGCCAATTCTTTCTCCTTATGTTCACTCATCACTTGATGCACAAATGACTTATCTACGTATCCTATTTATAGGTGAAGAATGTGCTTGCTCAACAAGCCACTCTTCTTGCTTGGAAGCTTCTACTGCATTGTCTAGCTCTCCAAGTTGCTATTTTATTTTTATTATTATTTTTCGGTGTTTAGTGGGCCATAAAATTAGTTATGATATTTTTTTTATATACTATAGTTATGATATTTAATATGGACATAATACACCACTTCAAATATGACATTTATATTTTAAACTCTTCATATTTTGCAATTTTCATGCTTCTTAACCCTTTCGATATAAACTTATAAGATATTAATTAGCCGTCAAATAATCTGTGCACCATAATAAAACTACTTCTGCCATGAACAAGCACATGCTATGGTTTCATTCATCTCTAATGACATACAAAAGCTAACAAGTACCGGCGTTCTTTTGACTAATATTGTATTGACTATCCTAACACTGAAAACAGACAAACTACATGATTTTTAACTTCATTTGAAATTTTGTTGAGCCATAATTTGTGTTAATGTTTTATCCCTGCTTCTTGGCCTTTCCTAGATACGAATAATGAGTAATGACAATAACAATCGACATCGAATAAACAAATAGCATATATAAAGGGAAAGAGAAGCAGAATACTCAAATATACCCAGGTCTAAAAACAAAACCAGAGATATTAGCAACATCTCGCAAAGCCTGCCTCCATTTTTGCACCTTCGCCTCGTCGCAATTCTCGAACCTTGTCTCATGCTTTGCGAATGCTTCTGCATAATTCTCTTTTTGATGTCGTACTTCAGACGGTTCTACATTATAAAAAATAGGCAAAACCAATCGTCCCTTTGAGTTTATACATTCAAGGATCTGAACAAGTTCATCTAAACAAAAGGTAGAGGAAGCATAGTTTCTGGAGAAAATAGCAATGGCAATTCTTGATTCTCGGATTGCTTTGACAAGTGATGGAGTAATTTTTTCTCCTCTTCTAAGCCCCTCGTCATCCATAAAGGTATGAATGCCCTTTTGATTGAGAGCATTATAAAGATTTCTGACAAAATCAAAGCGAGTATCTTCGCCTCTAAAATTGAGAAATACATCATAAGTCCATTCATAGCTGAAGGAAGAGGAAGAGGAAAATGATATCTCCGCTGCCATGGTAGCTAGTTGAGATGGGTGTTGCTCCTTGCTAGACAAGAAAACCCAAATGCTCTTATGATTTAGTAAAGCAAGAAATCAATGGGAAACAGGAGTCAATTCAATAAAATTAAAGTCTTCTGCTTTTTATCATCTTGGTCTTCAATTGTCTCCCATAATGTCCCATCCAAAAGAAAAAGTTAGATTAGGTGTTATGATCTTTGTCCACTTGCACAAAACTTGCTCAAAATGTTGGATCGACAAAAATTAATAGGAAAATCTCGAGCAATAGGCCCCAGTATCGTGCACTGTATTTTGGGATAATATTGATCCGTGTTAAGGCATCCTGAATGCCACTCTTGGCGAGCATGGCTACTTTAAGATTCTTAAATCCCTTGATACAAAAAATTATGGATCTCTAAGTATATCAACATGATTCACACTCATGGATTGTAAGGTATAGGTTCTTCATAAAGACAAGTACAGAACATTCTTAAATTTTTGTAGGATAAAAATAAGATATTACTAAATCAATAAAGCTTTTAAAATAGAATAAAAAATTTAGAAGAAAGACAGAAAAAGCACACCGATTTAGTGTGTGTTTGATTCTTAATTTGACAAAAATTAATTTGATGAAAGTTTATTTGATAAAAATTAGTTTGATGAAAGTCAATTGTTGTAACAAAATTTGTGTTTGAATATATTTTTTTAAAAGTCAGTTTGACAAATAGAAAGTTATTTGGATTAATAAAAATTTATTTTTTTAAAATGTACTTTTTAATATATAATGACCAAAAAGAACATTAAAAAATGATAATTTATAATTTTTATTATGCAAATATAATATATTAGTAATGTTTGAAAAATGTGAAACAAATTTTAAAATAACATAAAATTTAAAATGTTAAATAATAAGAAAGAAATATAAAATTTAATTTTGGACAAATTTATGTAATAAATAGTTAAACATTCATCAATATTAAATAGTTACATGATTAATGGTTCGATCTATAATATACAATCTGATCTCTAATAGAATCTCGAACCCTATTCATCTCTCTATCAAAAGTTACGCTTGAAATTGCACTTGAAATTGTTGATGAAAATACATGTTTATCATTATCATAGTTAGTATTAACCATATTTTCATTCTCAAAACACCTAAAGTCAGAATCAGTTGCAAATTTTCTTCTAATAAAATTATGTATAGCCATTGTTGCACCAACGATATGAACTTGCATCACAAATGGATAGCTAGGCATATGTCGCAAGATTGCAAATCTATTTTTTCAAACCCCGAAAGTCATTTCAATCATGGTCCTTAAGCTTGAATGATAATAATTAAAAACCTCATTATTATTTGCAAATCCAGATGAACGCCTGAAATCTTTGAGGTGGTACCTATAAGATCTATAAGGACCTAAATATTCATGTGGCGTTGGATAGCCGGCATCTAATAAATAATATTTACCTACCAATAAAAATTATAAGATCCCAAAAAATATTGAGTAAATTATTTTAAATTAGATAGTGGGGTGGATGTGAAAATTTTATGTCCAGCCTTGTGAGTGCATAGTCAAACAAACGAGCATCATGGGCAGTCCCTTCCCATCCAGCCATAACATAAGTGAAGCACATATCCCAATCATATGCGGCCATTATATTTTGTGTTGGAATACCTTTCCTTCCAATATATTTCCCTTGCTCTTCAACACTAACCACGCACGGGATATGTGTTCCATCGATTGCTCCTATGGCATCTTTAAAGAATGGCCAATATCACAGATCACCTAAAATTTTTAGATGAATATCTTGAAAAGTGCGATCTTTTAGTTGGACATATTCCTTTGCTAGCTTCTCACAAGCACACAATATATTTTTGAAATGTCTGTGAATAGTCTCTGTTGAATGTTAAAATCATTTTTATGCCATCCTATTCCCCATCCCATGTCCAATAATATTTAAGAACATATCGACCATTTCATGAATCCCTGTTCTTCTGGTTGGACACAAACCATATTGCACCAGTTCATCACAAAGTTGAAAAAAAACATCTTTTTCCATGTGAAACATGTCATAACAACTCTGAGGATGCCCTTGTAAAATTTCTTGCACCCATCATGACCTGATTGTGAACTGGTTCTACAAGGCTCTTTCAATAAAGTTGTTGAGTAACTAGATATTATTGCAGTAATAGCCTCAATTTCATCGTCTTCCGCATGTACAAGTAATTGTAATAAGCGAGATTATATATTGTCATCCATAAAAACTACATAGCATAATTAAACAACCATTACACTATTGTCCATGACTTAACATAAGAAACACATAACACAAGAGCCAAATAACACAGTTAGTTTCAAAACAAAGTTAACAACATAAACGGCACTAGCTAAATTTAAAACATTGAGAAGGCAAGTTAGGATTGATCTAATCTGCTTTTTTGCCCAAGCACTTCAAATAGACTACTAATGCTCTTCTGTTGTCCCTAAGCCTAATATACATGTCCCTTGCAGTCTTATCTAACAAAGCCACAGCACATTGTCCAAGAAGTGCCTCATTACAAGCAATCTCCTCGATTCCATAAAGTTCCTTTGCAACATCTACTACATTTTGATCAACTGGTTTTGTCCCACCCTCTATGGAATTAAGAATTGACTTCAGTGTTGAAACCCTATTCTCTTGTGTGGACACCAAGCGACTCATTGAATCAACCATTACAGTTGCAAGACATTTTCCCTTCTTGTTTTGACCACTTTCACCTCTCTTTCTCTTGCTCCCCGAATTAGTACCACCACTGTATGCATTATTCAAGTTGACCTACCCAATTTGTGGGAGAGCTCTTCCACTAATATTTCTCATATCATCACTGTCTCCTGATCCTTTGGTCAAATCTAGTTGAGGCCTATACGTATCTTGTAGGTCATCAGCCGTAGGTGTCTACATGTAAGTACCTCGTGTTGCAACTGGCTGGAACAACTATGTCAATTCTTGTACATATAGAAGTGATCTATGTCTGAATTTTCTATACTCAGGATTCTCCTACACATTACAAGAACTGAGTTCAATATATTTACAAAATAAAGCATCAAATATATAGCATGCCGTATATAATTATATACCTTAATCTTTTGACTCCACTACTTATCCGGTGCTGATGCAGTATTCTTTTCACTATTCGATCCTAAGCCGGTCTCTTTGTTTAGCAATTTGTCCCATATATTCCAATCTTTCCTCAAATTGTTCCATTTGTTCTTTAATTGCTTCTTATCATAGCTTCTAGAGCTCAAAGCATTGAATTGTTGCATTAATGCTTCCCAACCTTCCTTTGATAAGGTAGAGCCCTTGCACTCATTTTTTCTAACTTGTTGGCGAGCTAATTTGATGAACAGTTCGGTCTTTTCGGTAGTCCACAATGCCTTCTCCTTACTCATATTTACCATCAAAATATTACATTCTCTATAATTAATTAACATAAATTAGACCTATTTGTCAACCCACATTTAACAGGAAACAAAGCAACTAATAATTAATTAAGTAAAATCATCCAATTTTTATTTATGAAACCATACCAAAACCTATAATTCAACATTAGTTTGAACAAAAGAAAACTTGAAAAGACACATATAAATGCACATAAATTTAGAATAATTTATCAGTAATTGAGCAAAAAAAAAAATTTAAAACACACATTCTCAAGAAAAGAAATCAAAACTCAGGAATCAGTCATTGATTATAAGAAAATTTACATACATATATAAAGAGCAGAACTAATTTTGAACTTAAATAATTCAACATCTGAAAACAGAACCAAGCATTTCCACCATTTCGATTCCTATTCATTCAACATAAGAAAAGTTTGAACCATACACACAAAGCAGAACTACGTTCAGATTCACAACATTCCTGTTTATTGAGTATGAGAAAAGTTCAAACTAGTCCTTCTTCTTCAATGTTCAGATTCCTAACGTCCAGAAGCTCTCAGGTTTTGGATTACCAATACAAGTGGAAGAAATGGTCAAACAGAGCAGAAGTACCTTCAACTGAAAAAAAATAGAGCATAAGCGATCTAGAGAAAAAATCAGAGAACCACCGAGTGTCCAAGATCGAAAAGAAGCTCTAATCGTTCGAGCATCCGAGTGTCCGAGTTCAGTTCAAGCCTCAGGTGTTTTTACTCTATCAGCTTCACAATGCCGTCCAAGACCCAAAAGAAGCTCGATCCGTGAGCTATAAATGAAAAATGGTGACCGGAATAGCAGGGATGGACGACAGAACGAGACCACGTGCTCAGCGAAGGAAGAAAAGTCAAATCTATGAGTAAAGATGGCAGGGGAGAGATGGTGGAGAGAAGGACGAGAGTCATCGAAGATATAGAGGACAGAGGCCGACTGATGGCGGACGAGGCAGACCAGAGCACAGCACAGAGAAGAGAGAATGAAGAAGTCAGATATGTGACTAGAGATGGCAGGGGAAGACGGAGGAGAGAATGACGAGAGTCACCGGAGATATGACAAAGGCGGAAGAGGCGGACGAGAGTAGAGCACAGAGAAGAGAGAACTGTGATGAAGAGAGGCGAGTTCTGAAGAACGAAGAAGACTAGTTCGGGTAGGACGAAAAGACAAATATGAAGCCAGGGGTATCATGGTCGTTTTAAATAATAGGTATTATATCTTTCCTCAACTGACTTTTTAAAAGCTCTAGATATCAGCTTCTAATTTTTTCTGTTTCAGCCAGGTTCGAAAAGCACATTTAGAAAGTTAATTTTACACCTTAAATAATCCCCAAACACCATTTAACTTTTTCAAAGTAAAAAACAACTTTTTGAATGTAAAAAGATGGTTTTCCAAACGCACCTTGAATAATCCCCAAACACCATTTAACTTTTCCAAAGTAAAAAATAACTTTTTAAATATAAAAAGCTGGTTTCTCAAACGCACCCTTAATTTCTTAGTTGACGGTGCTTACACACTCCTTTTAAACACTTCAACCAACTTTACATCGTAATATAATTTAAGCTTTTTTATATAAATGATGGTAGGAAAAGAGCATATTTCAGCATCCGCATTCCATGCTCCTTAGTGTGATAAGAATCAAATGTTTATCAGGGTTAAGAGCAATCTTGATCCTCCATTTCAGCCTCATTTAATCCTTGCCATCCATTTAAATTAATTTTTAAATATTTTTAATATTATATTTATTAAAATAAAAATATAAAAATTTTTAATATTATATTTGGACTATTTAAAGTATATTTAAATGGTTAATTTATATATAAATTTTTTAGTGTTAAATTATATTATCTAAATTATATTTGAACTGTATAGAGTTTATTCGTATAATCAAATTATAAAATTATAAATTTTTTTAATATTAAATTGGACTACTAGATTAAATTTGTACTGATTAAATTAGTGATGAATAGATGTATTAAAATTTTAAAATTTTATTTTTTTATATTAATAAATATAATATTAAAAATATTTAAAAATTAATTTAAATGAACACTAAATATTAATTTAGGATGAAATAGAGAGTCGTAATTGCTCATGATCCTGATGAGCACACGGTACGACAGGCGTGGAATGCAATTCCCATATTTCGTGTGATAAAAGGGGCACATTTCTGTCAATTTTTTAAAAAAAATAAAAGCTAAAGTTGATAAAATGATGCATGTATGTCAGCTTTTGAAAAAGCAAAAGCAAAAATAAATGAAACTTGACAAAAATAAAAATAAAATAAATATTTAATAATCACACGGGATTGAAGATATATAATACCAGTGCTCGTAAATGCTTTCTTCAAGAAATGATGAGTTGGAATTTGTTTTTTTTTTTTTTACCTCTTTCCAGAGTGCATGGTAAGCATGTGCTTTTCTATCTTCTTGTTTTTCATACTCTTTTGAAATGAAAGAGTTTCTTGCTTTAAGAACTTATTAATGAAATTGAGATTCTATTTCATATGAATCTTGACTTTTAGATACAAGAGCTTTTGATTTGGAAGGATTAGGTCTCATGAATTAAGGAAACTTGTTCCATTTATATGGAATATCCTTGTTACGGGGCAACATTCGCAGTCCATTGTAGTAGATGAATTTTTGAGGATAAAGGATAATTTAGGATGACAAGTTAGAATGGAATTGGACTAAGTGAAGTACATTTAAAATATATGCATGCAAAATTATTTAGATCACATAAAAATTGTTTTAACTCAATTAAAAGTTCAATTTCATATGATACCAATTAGGAAAAGAATTTCATAAATAAATTTGATTAGCAACATAGAGATTCTCACATCAATCCAAGTTGTAGGGCGGTGAACAATGAAAATAAAATAAATCTATCAAGTCAACTTACTCTTACTTTTGTCAAGTCTTGACATTAAAAATGAAATTAAAAACTAATTCATGAACAACTTATTATTCTATATAAGTTAAGATTTAAAACAATAAAAATTATTCATTGAATTATACACTTACTTATTTTTATAATTCATGTAAATTAAATATGTATAGTCACACTCATACTTTTCTACTATAACTCACATGTCATGACTCTCACATTTATTATTTATTTTACTTTGAATTTCACACCTAACTTTTTTACTCATGGTCCCACAATTTTTTTTTTCCAATAATGGCCCTACATTGTTACAATTCCTCTCCATTATAAAAAATAAAAAACCCAAAAAATAAATCTAAAAAATTAACAATAAATATCTTCTACATTGTAAAATACATCGTCCTACAGTGGTTTGAACAGTAACTTGCTTTTTCAAAAAAATTATACTTTTAGATATTATTAGGTGGGTCCCACTATAAGATAAGGTTTATAGTAATACATAATAAAAATAATAATTGTGAGATCTTATAATTTGGTGCTTTTATATCTTATATGTATAAGATAATAATATAAAAAGCGTTTGTCCCACTATAAATTTATAGTGGGATGAACAGTAATTTTTAATTTTTTAAATTTTGAAAGATCGAGCACTTGCAATAAAAATAGATGTAAAACTCATAATGTAAAATTAACATGAATATAAGACATAGAGCAAAAATAGTGGGTATTGGACCTATAATTTGCAACTTATATTTTTTATATGAATAAAATACTAAATTGTAGAAGAAATACATAGATAAATAAAAAATGATAATTTTGTTTAAATTTTAATTTATGTGGGCACGAAATAACAATTTCTAAATAAAATAATTTGTTGCTTTTTTCATATGTATAAGATAATAAATTATAAAATGTAATGTTTTATTATTTAAAGGGTTAATGAGCATTCTGGATTCTAAAATATTCTGAAAAAAGCATCCTAAACTTTAAATTGCTAAAATGTGTAAAATGGATCATAAACTTCTATATTTATTGCAAATTAACCCCCATCGTTAACTTATACTTAACATCATTGCTGTTCAATTAGTGGGGCCCAATCACAACACTGATGTGGCAGTCCCTTGCTGATGTATCATTTGTCAATGAGCACCACATACCTTAAACTATTGTGCAAGTAGCATCCTGAATCATAAACTTTAAAAGTCAAAGCAAATTACCCTCACCATTTGTGTGTAAAATATTAACTATTATGTAAATCAAATTAGCCTCAACATGATCCGCTACAATGAACATATCATTGGTTGCAGCAAACGACCAATAATTTTGTGAAATGACTTTTTTTTTCCCTTTTTTTGTAATGTTTTTTAAATAATTAGTATATTATGCTTCCATATACTTTATAACTTTCATTTATTATTATTTTGAATAATTTTTATTTATTTAATAGTAAAAATTTGGGATCTCATTCGAAAAGAAGTTTAAGTATTAATACACAAGAAATCATTCACCAGCCAATAATGGATATGATGCTATGTAATTTATGCAATCATTTATGGCCAACAATCATTTACCTAGAAGAATTATTTTTGTTGATGAAATGCTGCTGTTACAAATAAAATACTTCCAACTCACTTAGATGAAGACAAAGGCCGTAATCATGGATATGAGGAAGTAAAAATTACCCTACCATGATTGACAATCATGAATATACAGAAATCTTCAGTATTGCTAATCATGGGTTTCGTGAGACGTGCGCGCACAAACAAAATTTCCTTTTTAATGCTAGAAGGAAAATAGGTAATTTCATTTTCAGACATATTCACCCTTAAATTCATAGGGAACTAGCAGGTATTTTTTGAATTTATGGGACCTCAGCGTATTTTAAATGCTTCTATGGAACCTTAAAGTGATTTTCCCTTCATATTATTTATATAAATATATAAGATTAGGCTAAAATCTATAAAATTCTCATGAATTTTAATATAGTTACATATAACTCTTTCCTCCTTTAGACTTTTAAAATTAACCTCTTTAATATTTTTTCCCATACTATTAATAACTTTATTATCTTATTAACAAAATTTACCACTTCAAAT